TAAATTCCAAATAACAAAACCAATAATCTCCGATACCAATTGTTCATCATAGAATAATAATTAAAAACACCTTTGATTTTACACTTTTCCTAGCTTTTAACTGATGTAACTTAATTTCTTATTATTTTAGCGCAACCCAAACTTTTTCGATGCAACACCTTTTCTCTCTTCGAATAATAACTCTCAAAAAAAAGTTGGCAGACATGCAGAGAAGGTGGCTTAGTAAAGCGAGAGGGTACTAGGGTTGTGTTCTTCCCCCTCCTTTCCGAACTCACTTCTCTCGTTATCCATGCGCACACTTCCCAAACTGCTAAACAGTTTGTTAGAGCGAGTACAATAGTAGGCTACAAGTCAGCTGTAAACACATGTGGAGGAGGGAAGAGAAGAGAGAGAAGAAAAGCGGGCTACGGATTTGCAGCCGACTGCTACACGGACTCCAATACATTGTGTGTGTATGAAAGGTGGGACCATACATTAATGGTATAGTATATGCTTATAGGTAACTTGTATGAATGAGCTATTAGATTGGCTGCTAGAGCATGTGTAATAGTATAGCCAACTATTGGCTCCAAATCATCTAGAGCCAATTCATACAATAGTTACCTATAAACATGTAATATAAAATTAATGTCTGGTCCCACCTGTCATACAAATACATCTTAGAGTCTGTGCTGCAGCTGGCTACAAATCTGTAGCTCGTTGCTCTTATCTCTCCTGTTTTATCTGTTTAAAATATGTTTATAGCTGACTTATAGTCTGCTATTGGCATACAATGGCAAAGAAACCAAGAGTTCATGAACATGGTGGTCATAGCTAAACAAAAATTTGGATATCCTTTCTTCATCGAAGCAATTGCTACAGCACTCAGGAACATTTGGAAGAGGAGAAATGATCTTATCTTTAACAACATTCAGCCCTCCTTTAGTTACTGGAAATTATTTTACAAAGAGGAGTTAACTCTACTTTTGCATACAGTAAAAGAGCAAGACCGTTTAACTTGGCAATCATGGATTGAACATTTGTAATCTCTCCATCTCTCCCTACCCCGCCCCCTACTTTTTCTTGTGTATAAACCTTTGGTTTCTTTAATGCATCATAGTAAGAGCCTCTCTTGTTGTTTAACCGTAAAAAATAACTGCTAAAAGGTACGTTTTTTAAAAATATATTTTCGAAAGTTATATACTTTAAAGAATCATATTAATCCATTTTTAAATAAATTAGCTACCACTTAGTTAATCATGCACTAATAAGTCGTAATAAGTCGAACCGTTTTACGGTTGGAGGGATTAGTTTCCAACCCCAGTAAACGAATACAGCCTGGATGTTCTTGGCATGCATAGAAAAAAAACATGCATGAAAAGGACACTGACTGAGATTCATTTTTTAGTTCAAAATCAGATATTGATAACAGGATTCCATGAGTGATAGGTGTTGTGTTTGCCAAGCTCAAGGAGGTTGTAATTTATTAAATCGGGTTTGTTCCAAAGAACCGTGAGACATTATACACTGTTCAATATTTTTTCATTGATAGATTCAAGCACTACTTGTTCTACATTTGTTTCTGATGGGGAAAATCTGCCCAATGTTTCAATAATTACTAGTAAATTTCTAGTGTTTGTGTGTTCACCAAAAACATTAGTTATCTTACCAGTTTTCAGTTTTCAGCTCAATGAGTCCTCTGTTGTGGACTAACCTGATGGAGTGCCTTTTTATTCCCATAATATTGCTTTAACGAGTTTACTCACATGGTCTTTTACTATCCTCATCCACCCCCTCATTATATATATATATATATATATATATATATATATATATATATATATATATATATGTGTGTGTGTGTGTGTGTGTGTGTGTGTGTGTGTGTGTGTTGCTCAATATCCTGTCCCCCCACCCCCCGACGGTTAATTTGGGCTTCCATTGACGAGCTACTTTCGGCAAGAAGTAGTGAAATTTCATCACAAGCCGTGTTCTGTGACGATCTTATGACGAATGATCGAGAACATCGTCGCAGAGCCCCTTCTGTGACAAAAACACTGCGTTCGTCGCAAACGGCCGTGACGATTTTGGATGTGTGATTCAGCCTTTCTTTTACAACGATGGCTCGCTTGGAATGGGAGGTATTAGGACGTACAAATGTACAGCGAGAGATGAACTAACGGGGCTAGCATGGTGTCCTGAAACTGCAAGTCAAATTGATTGCGCTGAAGCGACGAAAATTTCTTTCAGGAACACGGGTGTGCAGTAGTCATCCTGTCTGAGGGCTGAAGAAGGCTAGCTAATAGCTACAGGAGAGATATTTTCCCTAAGGTCTGAAATTCTCCTGCCTGATATGATGTTAGCGTCTGAACTAGATAGACATACATGTGTGGACAGTGGCATGCAGGCATACGCTATGGAAGTCTCATATACACATAAAAGCATCGAAGTAAGTTTAATTTGTATGGTCAAACGAGGTCATAGGAAAACTAACGTTTATTGTATATACTTATCATGGGAAAAATCCATGACTTGTTATCACCTGTGACATAGGTCCCCATTGGTTGGACAAGAGATGTAATAGCTTACTTATTAATTAGCGACAAAAACTAATTTATGAGTAAAACTTTCATATATTTCTTAGCAACTAAGCTAATGCTGAAAAACAAACTACGTTAAAGAAATATCGAAATAAACTTTAAAATTCAAAATTTGGCAGCGACTTATCAGCTAAAAATCATCACTTCTTTTTATCACCACTGACATACTTCCTCCGTTTCACAATGTAAGTCATTTTAGTAATTTTCATATTCATATTGATGTTAATGAATCTAGACTCATGTACCATCAATATAAATGTGGGAAATGGTAGAATGACTTACATTATGAAACATAGGGAGCAGTAGTTTTCACGTGAAGTTTAATCTGTGTGCCTACTCAGATAGATCTGCAGCTGAACATATTGAATTGCAGTCAGTTGATTACACTTTTGCTGGCACCAATTGCATAGCTTTAACGTTTTTCTCTCTGTTCGGGTCACCGGTCAACTTCAGTCATTTTTAGCATCGGCATGTGCAGATAGCAAAACCGTTCTCACCTACTTACCTGCGTACATTTGCACGACCTCTTTATGCATTTTTCACATTGTAGCTCATTTTTAAAAATCATCTTATAAATATATCCTTAAAAGAACATATTCCATGAGTGGACTCCTAGTTCATCGCCAACAATTCCATCTGATGTCTCGCCAACGACATTAATTAGCACCGAAACCCACCCCCATGGCACAGAAGCAGCTAACATATACTTAGGGCCCCTTTGAATCTCAGGATTGAAAAAACGGAGGAATATAAAAAACACAGGATTTTGATAGGAATACAAGTGTAAAACAGAGGATTGCAAACATAGGAAAAATATATGAATGACCGTTTGATTAGATTGCAGGAAAAATGCAGGAATCAGATGAGAGAGATAGACTGTAAAACAGAGGATTGCAAAACATATGAAAAATATAGGAATGATCGTTTGATTAAACCACAGGAAAAATGCAGGAATGAGATGAGAGAGATAGATTCAAGGAAAGTTTTCCAAGAGGTTAAAGTGGATGTTAACTTTCCTACGTTTTTGCTCTAAAATTATAGGAATAGGAAAGTTTCCTACGTTTTTCCTTTTCTTATTCATACGAATCAAAGGCATGAATAGTGTAGGATTTCAATTCCTTTGTTTTTTCTCCATTTTTCCTCCAATTCAAAGGGGGCCTTAAGAAATTACACATTCAACTTAAAAGGATACTCCCCATGATTGTATTTGATCATCATATAAGTTTTTTTATCAAGACTAAGCCTGCGTTCGAGCGCAGGAGAAAGAGAGAAAGATAGTTTTGTTTTCCGCGCGCACGCTTGCCGAACTACTAAACGGTGTGTTTTTTGCAAAAAATTTATATAGGAAAGTTGCTTTAAAAAATCATATTAATCTATTTTTGAAGTTTAAAATAATTAATATTCAATTAATCATGTGCTAATTGCTCAACTCGTTTTGCGTATCTTCCCAATCTCCTCAATCCCCTCCTTCTCAAACACACCCTAAGGAATGTTTAACTTTCCTATATTTTATTTAATGTGAGTATATGGTGGGACAGAATTAAGAAATTTGTAGACTTTAACTCTCCCCACATTCACAAGAAACGATGGCTTAACTACCCCAACTACCTTCCTATATGCATGCATAGATGCAATAATGTTGTGCATCAAATTAACAAATTAAAGGTCCAGGGTTATGTGATGATCAATTTGGAAAATCTGATTTTTGGTTATGTGATGATTAATCTAGAACGATGATTAATCTAGAACGGAGTATGTGTAGTCCAGTGGTGAGATGGCATGTGCATTCCTGAAATAAGTATTTTTAGGGGTTTATTTGTAAAAACTGCAGAAATACCTCATTTCACCTCTTTCTTTACACATTCATGTGTCTTCCTTCCCATTTATAGCTACCATATGTAGCTCGATCAGAATATGCATCACACAAGGTAGAGAGATGTTCATGCAGGTCGTTGTTCCCTACTCAAGCTGCTGCTGGATTTGTGGCTTATTGCTCGTATTAGACATGGGAAGTTCACTTAAAACACCCAATCCTAATCTAACAGCATACAGCCAGCAGATAAACATCACTGAACTGAATTACATAAAACCAATCATTCAATATCAGGTTATCTAAAACAAGAGCTACTACACCCGGCCCAGAGGCATCACACTACTGGAAAATCAGTTTTTGGTGACTGTCCCACAGCTTTTGTGATGGTTAAATAAATACCTTCACCAAAATATTATTTCGTGACAGTGATGAGTGCACTGTCATGAAAATAGATTTTCGTGAAAGCAAAAGTAATGCAGTCACAGAAAAAAAATGTTTTTGTGAGTAAACTCGTATTACAATCACCAAAGAGGCAAAGATCAATTTACTCAGGAACCCACTCTAGTATTAAGCTGAGGTTGGCCCAATAACAGGGAGAAGCCCATGAATACTCCAGGCCTGTTTATTACCAGTGCTTCTGATCGATCGTTATCGAGGGTTTTTTCACGTCGCGTTTTTTCCCACCGCCGCCGCCGCCGCCACCACCACCACTGCAGTTGCTCACCTCTCCGTCGCGGGTTACGTCGCCGGCGACCACCCTACCCTGTACTCACTCTCCTCCCCCTCCCCGCTCTCACCTTTCTCTTCGTTTTCTGCTGTTCTACATCTGGAAACTTTTCGTTTTTCCAGCCAGCCTGCGCTGATCTCCATCGTCCCGCGAGCGAGTAGAGCAGAGCAGCGCCGCTTCCTCTTGTCGTCGGCGGCGGCGAGCACTACTGTAAGCACATCCTCTTACTCATCCCTCGTCCCTCCCATCTGTACCCGCAATATGTGTGTCCTGGAGATGTTGCTAGTTTCTGGATCTGCAGCGATAGATTTCCCCTTTTTGAGTTGGACATATTCTTCTTTGTTCATGCACAATAGACATTAGGTTCCAGATTTAACCCCCTATATAGCATGGGCAAATCAATCTCTGGAGAAGTAAAATTCTTTTCACAGGAGGTGGGGGTCGTTGGGGGCAAATCAAATTTAAGTTTCATAAGTTCACTACTTATTTAGATGGGCTAGCTTTTTATTTCTTATTTAGAGCAATAGAAATGCAAGTTGTTCACTGTACATATCAAATACTACTGGCTTTTGTTTTTCATTTCATTTGTTTGTGGATTATGCAGATTACATTATTCTACTACTTGCTGTTATGTAGCACAATTGTACTGTACGATAGAAATTAGAAACAATATATCTATAGTGGAGTTGTCAAGTGGCTCAATTGATTTAGATGATCAATGGTTTGAGGAGGTCCTAGAATTGAGATAGTTTATTTTCTGAAATATACATTTTTCCTATACACTTATCAGTCTTGTATGCTTCTGCTTCTGAAAATATCAGCTTGTTTTTGGATAAATGATGCGTATATGATGTTGGGTTAGTAATCCTTCTGATTTAACACTCTATAGGAGACTAAACCTTGAATTTACTGGAGAAGTATCAACAAAATAGCAGACAAAATCAGTTTGATATCCATCAAGGTAAAACTGAAACACAATTTTCAATCCTTTCTAGTTCTTTTTAACTTTATCTGCTGCAATGCACCTGTATGTTGAATCCTATTTTACTGTTACATGCTATCATGTAAGAATCTTGATCTACATTGACACATGCATATGTAGAAATATACTACTATATATATATAACTACTGTTCAGGAGCAGTTAGTAGTACAACTCCTAGATATAGTACAACTCCTAGATATAGTGACAAGTATAACTACAGGTAGCTTATTAGATGTAGTATCTTGATGTGATTAGGCTGCTTCTATTGTTCATATCTAGTTTAATATATGAGCCTAAGTTTTATACTGAATAGAAAAATTCTTAATCACAGTATGGCGAATAACCGTGAGTGGATGTATGCTCGGTGGAAACGTGGTTGTGCACTGACTGATGAGTGGGTAGAACAAACTAAGGGTTTCTTCGATCACGCCTTTTCCCTTCCAAATATCGTTGTTAGTGGAAAAATTAAGTGCCCATGCTCCTTATGTTGGAACTACGTTTCGCACAAACGGCAAATGATCGAGATGCATTTGTGTCGTGAGGGTTTCAAGGAGAATTACATGAATTGGACAGAACATGGTGAGTGTATTGGTCAAGATCAAGCCACAACTTCAGAAGGTAATGAAGATTTTGATGAACCGGATCGGATGGATGACATGTTGGCTGACATAGCCAGCGATTACCAGCTTTCTGAGGAAGAACCCACAGCTTCTGCTCAGGCCTACTACAAGATGGTGGCTAGTGCAGATGAAAAGGTACACGATCAAACAACACACACCTGTTTATCTACCATAGCTCGTCTGCTTGCCATCAAGTCACAGTACAACATGCCATCAGCATGCTATGATGATGTGATGCAATTGATCCATGAGCTCCTCCCTGCTGGGTCAAAGTTGGATGATAACTTCTATCGTTCAAAGAAAACTCTTGCTGGCATAGGGATGCCATATGAAAAAATTTATGTGTGCTACAACAATTGCATGCTTTACTACAAAGACAATGCCGAGAAAGTTAGATGTGACTTTTTCAAAACATCTCGGTATGAGAATGACAATAGCAAAGTTCCACGTAAGGTTCTAAGGTATCTCCCTATCATACCTAGACTGCAAAGGTTGTATAGTAATGAAGAGATAGCAGTCCAAATGAGATGGCACAAAGAACACCCTACACATAAGCTAAATGTGATGATGCACCCACGTGATGGTGAAGCATGGATTCAATTTGATGTAGATTTTTCTACTTTTGCACAAGATCCAAGAAATGTCCGGCTTGGTCTAGCTATAGATGGATTCACACCTTTCAACATGACTGCTGCGTCATACTCCTGTTGGCCTGTCTTTATAGTACCATACAATCTCCCACCAGACATTTGCATGAAACCAGAGAACATAATGCTTGCCCTTGTTATCCCTGGTCCTCAACATCCTGGAAAGAACTTGAGCACACTATTGGAACCTTTGGTGGATGAGTTACTTCAGATATGGGATGATGTAACCACATGGGATGCTTCGAAGAAGGAAAACTTGACTATGAGAGCAGCATATCTTTGGTCGATCCATGGCTTTCGTGCTTATGGTGATTTTGCAGGTTGGAGCACCAATGGTAACTTAGCATGCCCAACATGTATGTGTGAGTCAAAAGCATTCAGGCTCCATAATGGAGGGAAAAGTTGTTGGTTTGATTGCCATTGATGCTTCCTTCCAAGTGACCATGAGTTTCGGACTCAAGCAAATGCATTTCGAAAGAACACAACAGTACACCACTGTTAGAATTTCAATGGTTACTCTCATTGAGAAGAGGATGGCACTTAGAATGGGGCAATTTTCTGGTTTTCTTCATTCACAAACTCAAAAGCCATATCCTCCCAAAGAGGATTGGATACATATTTATAGCTGCTTGTAGCAGCCATGCTAGGGCAAGTGGGTGCTGTCCTAGAGCATCCCAACAAACTGTCCTAGAGCATCTCAACAAACTGCTGTCCTAGCTGTCCTAGAGCATCCAAACTGAAAGTACAAATGCTGTCCTAGAGCTAAAAAGCAAGAAAAAGCACCACAAGACCAAGACCAAGACTTATTCATACATTCTCCCCCTAAGTCTTGTGCGCCGTCTTGTGGGAAAGTTGAGCCATCCCGATCCGGGAGCAAACCTCAAGGAACTTGATCCTCCCAAGGGGCTTGGTGAGCAAATCCGCAAGCTGGTCCTTGGTGTTGATGTAGCTCGCCTTGATGCTCCCTTCCTCCAAGTAGCTTCGGATGAAGTGATACCTCACCCGGATGTGCTTGCTCCGTTCGTGAAAACCAGGGTTCTTTACCAGGGCTAGAGCGGACTTGCTATCCACCCTGAGCTCCACCGCTCCAATGTCTCTGCCGAGGAGATCACTAAGCAGTAGAGCAAGCCAGAGCGCCTGGGTCGAAGCGGCGGAGGCCGCCATGTACTCGGCCTCGCAGCTGGACAGGGCCACCATCTGCTGCTTTACCGACTGCCAGCTAACGAGGCACTCGCCGAGGAAGAAGAGAATCCCGCTCGTGCTCTTGCTGGTGTCGATGTCGCCGGCGTGGTCGCTGTCGCTGTACCCGACGAAGTGTGCCTTGCCAGGACACCTCGAGTAGTATAGACCGTGGTCAAGAGTCCCCGCAACGTAGCGGATGATCCTCTTCACAGCCTGCTGGTGCTCCGTCGTCGGTCGCTGCATGAACCGACTGACGTAGCCAACGGAGAAGGCCAAGTCTGGCCGTGTGTGGGTGAGGTAGCGAAGGCTCCCCACAAGACGTCGGTACTGTGTAGCATCCACTTCCTCCGTCGTGCTATTGCGGCTCAGCTTCAGTCTCTCCTCCATCAGAGTGAGAGCTGGGTTGCAATCGGTGAGTCCAGCCAGCTCAACAACGCGCTTGGCGTAGGCGGTCTGTCGAAGCGTGATCCCGGAGTCGTCCTGGTGCACCTCGATCCCCAGGTAGAAGGAGAGGCCCCAGATCACTCATCTGGAAGGTGGCCTTTATCTCCTCCTTGAACGCTGCGACCTCCGCATCCTTGGTGCCGGTGATCACCAAGTCGTCGACGTAGACACCCACCAGCAAGGCTTTTCCACCATTGCCCCGTCGGTAGATGGCCGTCTCGTACGGGCTTTGCTCGAAGCCCATCCCCTTGAGCGTGGAATCCAACTTGGCATTCCACACCCTCGGTGCCTGCCGCAAGCCATAGAGGGCCTTGTGCAGGCGTAGCACTTTGCCCTCCTTGCCGGGGATCACAAATCCCGGCGGCTGGTGCACGTAGACCTTCTCCTTCAAGTCGCCGTTCTGAAACGTCGACTTGACGTCCATGTGATGGACGCCCCAGCCTTCCTAAGCAGCCAGCGCAAGAAGGAGTCGCACGGACTCCATCCGTGCCACGGGAGCGAAGGCATCGTCGTAGTTGATCCCCTCCTGCTGCACGAAATCGCGTGCCACCAAGAGCACAAAGAGTTTGTGCTTACAAAGCCTTTTCCAGCTAACTTGACCAACAATGCTCCTGCTGCTCAACGTAGGGAGCATGAAAAGCGATGCAATGATTATCTTGATATAAGCTGTCTCATGCTTGCTACTATGTCCCCTGAGCTTCAAAGGCAATATGAGGCATTGGATGCTCATACGATAATCACGGGACTACGTAACATGTTTGAGGACCAAGCAAGAGCTGAGAGGTTTAATACCTCAAAGTCCTTATTTGCGTGCGGGCTTGCAGAAGGTAATCCAATGAGCCCACATGTGGTCAAAATGATTGGTTACACCGAGAGTCTGGATAAGCTTGGCTTTCCCCTTAGCCGAGAGTTGGCTACTGATTTGATTCTCCAGTCGCTCCCTCCCTGCTTTGAGCCGTTCATAATGAATTTCAACATGAACAACCTGAACAGGACCTTGGCAGAATTGCATGGGATGCTAAAGACTGCCGAGGAAAGCATTAAGAAAAACTCCAACCATATGATGGTTATGCATAAGCGCAAGCCCAACAACAAGAAAAGTGGTCAAAAGAGAAAGGTAAACTCTGATGAGATCACGAGTACTAGCAACTCTAAGACCAAGGTTCAAAAGATAGGGCCCGCTAAGGATGCAGAGTGCTTCTTTTGCAAGGAGACAGGTCATTGAAAAAGAAAATGTAAGAAATACCTAGAGTAGCTCAAGCAGAAGCAGCAGGATGGAAAGAGTTCCACCTCAGGTATTAATGTTATAGAAATTAATCTTGCTACTTCCTCTACTAATTCTTGGGTATTTGATACCAGGTCAGTTGCTCACATATGCAAATCGTTGTAGGGGCTGAAAAAAAGTAGGAGCTTAGCAAGAGGCGAAGTGGACATTCGCATGGGCAATGGAGCAAGAGTTGCTGCTGTTGCGGTCGGCACTATGCCATTATCTTTACCATCAGGATTAGTTTTGGAGTTAAATAATTGTTATTGCATTCCAGCTTTGTGTAAGAACGTTATCTCTGCTTCTTGTTTGCAAGCAGAGGGTTATGGTTTTATATCTGTAGACAATGGTTGTTTAGTCTATTATAATGACATTTTCTATTTCCATGCACCCATGATGAATGGCTTATACATTGTGAATCTTGATGGATGTTCAGTCTATAACATTAATGCAAAAAGGCAACGTCCTAATGATTTGAATTCCACTTTTATTTGGCATTGTCGCTTGGGTCATATAAATGAGAAACGCATGGAGAAACTTCGTAGAGATGGACTTCTACACTCGTTTGATTTTGAATCATTTGAGACATGCGAATCTTGTTTACTTGGCAAAATGACAAAGGCACCTTTCATGGGTCAAAGTGAAAGGGCAAGTGAACTATTGGGACTAGTACATACTGATGTATGTGGACCAATGAGCTCAACTGCCAGAGGTGGTTTTGGGTACTTTATTACCTTTACTGATGACTTTAGTAGATATGGTTATGTCTACTTAATGAGGCATAAGTCTGAGTCCTTTGAAAAGTTCAAGAAATTTTAGAATGAGGTACAAAATCATTTGGGCAAGACAATCAAGTATCTATGATCTGATCGTGGTGGAGAGTACTTGAGCCTTGAATTTGGCAATCATCTAAAGGAGTGTGGAATTGTTCCACAACTCACTCCGCCAGGAACGCCTCAGTGGAATGGGGTGTCTGAACGGAGGAATCGTACATTGTTGGACATGGTGTGATCAATGATGAGCCAAACTGATCTGCCGCTAAGCTTTTGGGGTTACGCTCTAGAGACAGCTGCGTTCACACTGAACAGGGTTCCATCAAAATCAGTGGATAAGACACCATATGAGATATGGATAGGAAAGCGTCCCAGTTTGTCTTTCCTAAAGATTTGGGGTTGTGAGGTCTATGTAACACGTTTGCAATCGGACAAACTCACACCTAAATCAGATAAATGCTTCTTTCTGGGGTATCCTAAGGAAACGAAAGGATATTATTTTTATAATCGGGAAGAGGGCAAAGTGTTTGTCGCCCCACACGGTGTTTTCTTGGAAAAAAAAGTTTATTTCAAGAAAGGATAGTGGGAGCATGGTGCGACTTGAAGAAATTCAGGAAACACCGGAAAATGCTTCAGCGTCCACACAACCACAAGCTGAGCAAGATGTTGTTCAACAGGTTGAACAAGTTGTTGTTGAACTAGTTGTGGAAGCATCGGCTTCACGAAGGTCCGAAAGGATACGGCGTACACCTGCGAGGTATGCGTTGTTAACTTCAGGACAACATGATATATTGTTGTTAGACAACAATGAACCTACTACCTATGAGGAAGCAATGGTGGGACCAGACTCTGAGAAATGGCTTGGAGCCATGAAATTCGAAATAGAATCCATGCATGTCAATCAAGTTCGGAACTTGGTTGATCCACCTGATGGTGTAAAAGCCATTGAGTGCAAATGGGTCTTTAAGAAAAAGACAGATGTAGATGGAAATGTTCACATCTACAAGGCACGATTGGTGGCAAAAGGTTTCAGACAAATTCAAGGTATTGATTATGATGAAACTTTCTCGCCAGTCGCCATGCTAAAATCTATTCGGATTGTTTTAGCGATTGCTGCTTATTTCGATTATGAGATATGGCAAATGGATGTCAAAACAGTTTTCCTCAATGGAAATCTTGATGAGGATGTGTACATGACACAACCCAAGAGATTTGTTGATCCACAATTAGCTAAAAAGATATGCAAATTGCAGAAATCTATTTATGGGTTGAAGCAAGCATCTCGGAGTTGGAATATTCGTTTTAACGAAGTAGTCAAGGCGTTGGGCTTTGTCAAAAACGAAGAAGAGCCTTGTGTATACAAGAAGATTAGTGGGAACGCACTGGTATTTCTAATCCTATATGTAGATGATATATTATTGATCGGGAATGATATTCCTATGCTTGAATCCGTTAAGACATCTTTGAAAAACAGTTTTTCAATGTAGGACTTAGGGGAAGCAGCATATATTCTGGGCATAAGGATCTATAGAGATAGATCAAAGAGGCTAATTGGATTAAGCTAGAGTACATACATTGACAAGGTGTTGAAAATGTTCAACATGCAAGATTCTAAGAAAGGTTTCTTACCGATGTCACATGGCATTAATCTTGGCAAGAATCAGTGTCCTCAAACGACTGATGAGCGAAACAAGATGAGTGTGATTCCATATGCCTCGGCAATCGGATCCATCATGTATGCTATGCTATGTACACATCCAGATGTTTCATATGCACTTAGTGCAACAAGCCGATACCAATCAGATCTAGGTGAGAGTCACTGGATAGCTGTAAAGAATATCCTGAACTACTTGAGAAGAACTAAGGATATGTTCCTAGTCTATGGAGGACAGGAAGAGCTCATTGTAAATGGTTACACTGACGCAAGCTTCCAAACCGACAAAGATGATTTTAGATCGCAGTCTGGATTTGTGTTCTGCCTGAATGGAGGCGCTGTGAGTTGGAAGAGTTCCAAGCAAGATACAGTGGCTGATTCTACAACAGAAGTTGAATACATTGCCGCTTCTGAAGCAGCAAAGGAGGCTGTTTGGATAAAGAAATTCGTTTCTCAGCTAGGTGTGATGACTAGTGCTTCTAGCCCTATGGACCTCTATTGCGATAATAGTGGTGCCATTGCGCAAGCCAAGGAACCTAGATCGCATCAAAAGTTCAAACACATCTTACGGCGGTATTACCTCATTCGCGAGATAGTGGGTAGAGGAGATGTGAAGATATGCAAAATACATACGGATTTGAATGTTGCAGATCCGTTGACAAAGCCACTCCCTCAGCCTAAGCATGAGGCACACACTAGGGCAATGGGTATAAGATACGTTCATGATTGACTCTAGTGCAAGTGGGAGACTGTTAGTGATATGCCCTAGAGTCAATCATAGAGATGATTGTATCACATACTATGTTTACATATTTATCCGACTTTGTTCCTTGAAATAGATAAACTCGTTATTGGTTAATGAATATGTGATTCTTTCATGAGACTCTTTATGTTATGTGTTGCTATTTCTAAAGGATCTCTGATCAAATATCATATGTGGAACAAATATGTTTAGATGATCAGCACATGTATTAATTGATGATCATGTCTCATAGATCATGGTATAGAGATACCAAATTAATAATGTGGACACATGTTAGTGAACATGTTGTTGGATAGACCCAACATAAGACACGGCAAGAGCCATATGAGTTGTGTCATCAGTGATCTCATTGAGTGTTGGTGTTGAATCCTTAGACCTAAAATTATCATGGTTCTCAACATGTGTAGTAGCTTACTTACGGACTGCTAAACGCTACTCCGTAATTGGGTAGTTATAAAAGTAGTTTTCGGGTATGCTATGAAACATGTAGTGGGATATGAATAATCAAGATGGGATTTGCCCCTCCTATGGAGAGATATCTCTGGGCCCCTCGATGTTGTAGATTATGGAAGTGCATGGCCATGCCAAAGGTGATTGAGGAGTCAATCACAAGTTATATAATCTATCAACAGGTTCGAGTGAATGATTGAGCTATTAGAGGATGGCACATATCTAGCCTTGAGCTTAATCGATATCGTGAGGCAAAGGGGTTCATACAAGTATACACTAGAGGTTCAGGCGATATGATTTTTATGTAGGCCCGGTGGGTCAATATGTTCTGCTAGGGGCCGCTGTTGACGCGTGGACCGAAAAGGAGTTTTCGGGTTACAGCCGAGTATATATGAACCTACAGGGTCGCACACTTAATGGGCCAGAATAAGGGGATTGGATGGAGATCCAATATGAGCTTAATTCGGATAGGGATCCGAATAGGAGTCCTACGGGCCTTGGAGGCCCGAGTGATGGATCATATATATTCGTGAGGGTGTGACCGGCGGAGGCATTGCATCACATGAGAAACCCTAGCCGTCACTTCCCTCCCCGAGCAAAACCCTAGCCGTGCGCGGGTGCTAGCACATCTACGCGTGGCGTTCCGTCCCTGTACGTGTGGATACCGGTAGAGGCGCCGCTGGTTTGCGGTGCTGATCGGCGTGGGAGTACGGCGAGGAGAACGCACGAGGAGGAGAAGGTCGAGCCGGTGCGATCGACTACTTCCTCTACATCGACGCGCGCTACTTCGCGAGAGTTCCTTTGACTTCTCAGCGTCTTCTTCCGCTGCGCAGCGCGTCGAGTGGTAATGATCTATGATCTAATACTTGCATGGTTCCTGGTTTACGCGATAGAAAATTTTGATTTATGCTATCGTAGCCTACGTGTATCCCAACAGATATGAACCTCTTATTGGTTTTGTAAGGGGAAATACGGTCAACCTCTCATTGGCAGGAATAAAAGCAACTAAGTTTGATGGTATGTAAAACTAGATTATCAGATAAGTTCTTTAAAGTAAAATTTTGAGATTATGCACCCCCAATTTTTGGTTTTGGATATATAGATTTAGTTATGATCAATTCTTATTTACATGAGCATTAGGCTTTAATAGTGCTTAAGCTGGGTCCATCCGGTCTATGTATACTTCCGTGCGGCAAAGCCGCAGTTATTTTCTAGTGCAACCTGATTGAAGGTGGATGAATACAAGTGTATGTGTTTTAATTCTCAATAGCAAATCCAGCAAGTGGAGTAATAATACATGCATATTGCCATGTCGGTATACGTGCTAAATTAATGCATCAATTGGCTTTACTCCTCTCTGCTGATCTGGTTCATCTCTAATAGGTTCTATCATAATAAACCTAAAGAACCAAAAGCTAAGTACCCAGCCACTTTTACTTACCTCCTACCCTTCATAGTTCATCACAGGGATGATGTATCTTGCAGGCCTGTCTGCCTTCTTCCTCCTCTTACTAATTTCCAAAAATTTTCTTGGTTATATCGGCATGGGAGTTGTCAGGATATACAGATGGAGGTGAATGTTACAGCCCAGGACGAAGTAGAATGAACAACGAAGAACAGTTACCACAATCAGAGCCTATTTGAGACATTCCTGCACGAGGTTGTTTCTTGGAGGAAGAGGGAAGAGACTTCGTGGCCATCTCCATCTCGAGGATGTTTGAAATCTTTCTGAACATGAACAAAGCATTCCTTTCACTCTTGAATAAATTTATCTTGCTTTGTGTATAGTGTATAGATCGACCCTGTCAGGCCATTTTTGAGATGGCACACCCTTGAAATATGGT